TAGTAAAAACAACCTAAATAGCTGTCATGTAATGAGAAGAAGATCAAGTGGGTGCACCCAGAAACAGTTGAAGGAAGATGGTGGCGAGGTTACTGAGATCTGATATGGTTCTGACACCTGGAAAATTATGGCCCCCCCCCCCCCCAAAAACAAATTATTGATGATAGCAAGTCTAGATACAAAGAACCATATCCAAAAATCTCTCAAAAACTTTCCTCTTAGTTCAAGAAACAAAACAAAAAGCATAAATATCTTTTCTTTTTGAAGATAATTAGGCGAAGGAAAGAACAAGTATGTGTTAGTTTGAGATTGAAAGGAGGAGACTGAGAAATTGATGAACAAGTATATGAATCACCTTACTTCTTCAGTTCTGGCCTTGTTCATCAAATTCTCTATCCCTTTCTTCTTCTTGGAAAAGAAAAGATAATTACTTTTGTGTGGATATTAAAAAGAGAGGAGCAAATGAAGTGAAAATTTATTAATTAATCTGGTTTTGATCTTCTTATTTAGTCTCCCGTCTTTATTTATGAGTTTCTTGGCAAAATCCGTTCAGGCATTGAAATGCGACCGTTGGGATAACGTAAAGAAAAGAATCATGGATATTTCAGCCTCGGGATGTGTTCCGCTCAACTTGGCTGCTTACGTGTTTTGTTTGGTGCTTGGGACCATTAATTGTTCGCCTCGTGGCAGTCTATGATTGGATCAAAAAAAATAATCTATATACACCCACGGCTAGAGGATGGTATATTATTTAACGGCGTTTTTATCCCAAAAAAAAAAAATCACTTGAATATTATAATATTATCTTTTAAATTTTTTTATCACGTAAGATTCTAAACTGACAAAGAATTATATGTTAATATATTTAAATACTTATTTTTTTAATTATGAGTTTAAAAATTTTATATAATATAAATTAAAAATATTTCATTGACATATAAATTTATTATTTATTGAATATGATTAATTAAATCTATAATTTAAGTTAAATCTAATAAAAAATATGAAGAAAAAAATTGCGTGGTGTCATTAACATGTAAGATGTAAGGTTTATATAATTTAAGATGGAAGAAAAATGAAAATTCATCTATGGTTTGATCCTACATAAGACTACCATAACTATGCAATTCTGTATATCTCTAGTGAGATTATGTAAGTTTGATCTAACTTATTTATAATTTTAGAAGCAAAATTAGAAGCAAAATTAGATGGATTGACAATAGTATCTAATGCATATAAAAAATATATAATCTTAATTAATATAAACCCTAATAATAAATATTAACATAATATAATTTAACAATAATGTATAAGTAGATTTATTAAATATAAAGATAAAAAAGTTAAAGAATACACCTTTTAGCTTTTATTTCACGTTATCAAGAAACATAACCTAAAAACTCCAATATTTCTATATAACTAGCCTCGTTATGCTCTTCAACTCATGGAACAAATATATATTAAATTATGATGTTAGTTCCTATAGTTTTTTTTTAATTTTTTTCAAGTTATATTTTTTAAAAATGCATTTAGAGAATCTAAAGTAGTAAGAAAATTCTGGAAGACGTGCTTTAGGGAACGTGCTTTCGGTCCACCAAAGCAAAGGTATATTTCACGTAACACGCCTTATTATAAAGAGTGCTAGATCGGTAAAATTTGGAGAAACGGTATTTGACTTGTAATATTATAATATTTGGGTAAAAATGCTTCTTTAGCATACTTGTTATTTAAAAAGTAAATAAAATTTAGTTCATTATATAAACATTTTAATATAGCGTTAATTTCAAATTTTGATATAAAAAATATTTTAAAATTTGGGCATAAAATATTTATTATTGTTCCATAACGAGAAATGTTAATTTTATGTAATATATATGTGTCACATTTCATGTGTTTTTGGTGATAGAAAGTATAGGAGTAGATAAATGATCACCCATATTTCAAATGATAAATTATTTCAAATGATACATATCTAGATGAAAACCATATAATTATTCCATTCATATATAAACCTAATTATATTTAAAATAAATGTGACATTAAAAAATTATTTCAAATGATACATATCTAGATAAAAACCATAATTATTCCATTCATATATAAACCTAATTATATTAAAATTTATAAAACTTTATTAAATATAATAAACAAATAAATTCTTATTTTAATAATATTTGAACATGTATTTTCTTGCCATATTGACGATAGTAATAATAAAATATTTAAGCTTGGGCGGTAAAAACGTGAACCATTGATGATAATAGTTAGGTAAATTACAAATTTAATAATCGAACTCAATTATTATTTTTATTTCAATTTTTCACTAAACTAAATACATTAAGTTTTTTTATAATTCAGTCGCTTTTTATTAGCGGTGTTATAAATAAACCTTTATATATAGGTAGAATGATGTCGTTTTGGTAAAAATTTATTTTTTAAATAACATTATTTTAACGCCATTAACTATTTAACGGTAGAGTAAAAAAATAAATGTATTAAGTTTAGTAAAATAATTAAAAAATTAAAATTTAGCGAGTAAAATAAGAAAGAATAAAATTTAATGATGAAATTTGTAATTTATCCTAAAAGTTAAGGTGGCACTTGAAAGGACAGTTGAGTCCGCCAATAAAGAGAATTTTGGACCACATTTTTGTTATATAGATCGATAAAATTTAGAGAAATAAGTAATATTATAATATTTTAGTTTTTTTTTAAACAGCCTTTTTCTTCCTCGTATAATTTATATTTCCTCTGCCTCGGTCCAATTGAAAAGCAGTTCCAATTTCCAAGCTTTTTTCCTTTCTTTAATTTTTATAATATTTTACAATATTTTAATTTTAGGTATAAAAGGTGGATTTTGTCATTTTATTATGTTAAAAATATTATTTTATCATTGATATTATCATTTAGTTTTGATTTTATGCTTTAAAAAGTTTTAATTTTGTTGATTTTGAGACACCAATTTTTGGATTTAATTTTGGTTGGTCATTAATAGGAGTTATAAATCATTCTCGGTCTTAAAAGTTTTAAAACTCATATATCGATCCCTATGTTTTCAATATCGTTACTTAGACCCTAACCTGTCCTAAGGTTGTTGGTCCTTGCATCAACCAAGCTTCTAGGTTTAAGGAAAATCATGTAAATAGTGAGGTTTAAACTTTAAATTTATTTATTTATGTTGAAGTTGGACTTCGACCTATTAAATGTTAGACGAATGATCGATCAAATAAAAGCTTAAAGTACAATTTAATAAGTCAATGACTTATTTAGGTGTGTAGAAACATAAACTACAGAGAATCCTTTTAAACATTTTAATCTAAATATCTCATTATAATGTCATAAAAGTATAGCCACGATTCCATTTGCTTTTTGGTCATGACAACATAAACAATCGAGATTAAAATTTAGCAATAAACTAAGACCAAAAGCTTAAACATTTTCGGCTAAACAATGATTTGGACCGTTGATTAATTATAATATAAGTTTTGCTTTTTTTTTTTTAAAAAAAAAAGGTCATTGATAAGATTAATGGTGGGTCGGAAAGTAGTGAGGTTTCTTGAAGGGCGGTGGATAAGGTTTTGGACCTGATGAGTAGTTCAAGGAGACACCTCTTTAATTTTCAACATTTTCATTGCTCAGTCATGTGGGGGAAACGTGTTTTCAATCTAATCTATCCTATAAAATGAAAATTATTTTTTTAATAATAAAGTTATAAAACCAAGATAATTCTCTCTATCCCCTATCTAGAATCCTACGTTGCAATTATTCCTTTCAATTCTCTCTTTTGTTTTCACTGCACCGTGGAGCAAATTATAGCATAAAAACCGATAGTTTAGATACGATAAGTTTTTCATGACGAGTTATTAAAATAAAATGAAAATGAAAATTTGATTTAATTTAAAAAAATTAAATATTAAAATAGATTAAAACTGATAATTTAGATATTAAATATATTATTTATTTAAATAATTATTATATTATGACTCAGGGTTTAGTGGGTCCTTGATTTTGTTTAGTGTATGATTTATGAACCTCATAAGGTAATCGAAAATCTGATTCTTTGTCTCCTACGGGAAAGAGAGAAATTAATTATTTTTGTTTTCAATATTTTTATATTACAAGAGGTAATTATGAGTGAATCTAAAAATATTTTTAAGGTGAACATTCATATATTGATAATATAAAAATTTTGTATAAAATAGATACAAATAAAATTTCAAGATGGATTATTAACACAATAAGTAACTAGTCGTAAAAAATTAAAAGTTTAGGACAAACACGTGTTCTCCTTGAATAATATATATATATTCAGTTATCCGCCACTTAAAAGTAATATAAGATTTTAAAATGATTGTATTTCATTTAATTCGTAATAGTAGGATATAATATGATATTATTTTAATTATACATGTGTACATTGCATGGATTGATGACAAAATGAAAGTTGATAATACATGAGTGAGCAAAATTGACCCAATAAATCAAGCGGGTGAAAAAATTAGTCTATTAGGTAATCTTTAAAATGATAGATATCTCGTCAGAGTGACAAATTTTAGTAAAAAATTTACAAATGAGTTTTAAATCATTGTAACAAATGTTGTAATTCACAAAATAAAAAATTTAGTGTCGTATTGAGCTAAATAACTAGCCCGCCTTCGATATTTTGGCCAAAGTTGCCATGTGTGTATGATATTTGAGGTGGTTTATATATGGAAGTAGGCAACAGAGAGGAGAAAACGGTTTTCCAATACAAGGCTGAGAAAAGCTATGGAGCATCATCCAACATTTTGGAACTGTTTCAATACAATTATTAGACATGCTCAAGCTAAAACCTCGCCCCATCAATTCTAGGAATTTCTACACCAAAATCCAAGCTGGTCAATACTCTTCTTTCAACAAATTTTTCCTCAAAGCCTTTTCTTCTTCCAATAAGAAATTTAACCTGAATTCTTTTTTAAATTCTCCCTCTGTTTAAGGCTCTCTAGTCTTTCCCCATCACCCCTCAACTTCATCTCTCATTGTCTCCCTTCCACGATGGGGGAATTTATGCTCTCGTAGCGACCCCGCCGAGGAGACCGACTATAAGGGAGAACCCGAGCCTGATAATGGCACCGATAATCCTACCAGTTCCGCCGATGCAAATGGTTCAACCCATGCTCCAACTAAGACACTCTCTAATGGTTCCAACAACCCTTCTTCCAAGCCCAACCCCATCGGTACGGTCCTTGGTCGGCCTATGGAGGATATTAAACAAACATACAACATTGGCAAGGAATTGGGTAGAGGTCAGTTTGGGGTAACGTATTTGTGTACTCACAAGGCTTCTGGGGAACAATTCGCCTGCAAGACAATTGCCAAGAGGAAGCTTTCTAACAAGGAGGACATTGAAGATGTTAGAAGGGAGGTTCAGATCATGCACCATTTGACGGGTCAGTCTAACATTGTGGAGCTCAAAGGAGCTTATGAGGATAAGCATTCGGTTTATTTGGTGATGGAACTATGTGCCGGAGGAGAGCTGTTTGATAGGATCATCGCTAAGGGCCATTACACCGAGCGTGCTGCCGCTTCGTTGCTTCGGACCGTTGTTCAGATTGTGCACACTTGCCATTCTATGGGGGTCATCCATAGGGATCTCAAGCCTGAGAATTTCTTGCTCTTGAATAAGGAAGAGGATTCACCCCTCAAGGCCACGGACTTTGGTCTATCAGTCTTTTACAAACCTGGTTGAGATATTTTTTATATCCACCCCTAATTTGGTTTCTTTTTCTTTTATCCTTCTTAATTTCCCCAGTTTGATTATATTTTTATATCTTGGCTTGTTGAAACAGGTGAAGAATTCAAAGAAATTGTTGGTAGTGCATATTATATAGCACCTGAAGTCCTGAAGAGGAAATATGGACCAGAAGCAGATATATGGAGTATTGGAGTCATGTTGTATATTTTTCTATCTGGTGTTCCTCCCTTTTGGTCTGGTAAGTTATTATTACCATATGATAATAAACCAGAAGCTTGAAGCTAATAAGATAATTTTGTTGATACGTAGAATCCGAAAATGGGATATTCAATTCGATATTACGCGGCCACATTGATTTCTCGAGCGATCCATGGCCTGCAATTTCACCTCAAGCAAAGGAACTGGTGAAGAAGATGCTCAACTCGGATCCCAAGCAGAGGTTAACAGCAGTGCAGGTTCTAAGTAAGTATGGCTTAATGTTTTTTTTGGTTTAAATTCAGTACATGTAATTGTAAGGTTAATATGACCATGGCCATTAACAGGCCATCCATGGATCAAAGAGGATGGCGAAGCACCTGATACACCCCTCGACAACGCAGTGTTAAGTAGACTCAAACAGTTTAAAGCAATGAACAACTTCAAAAAAGTTGCTTTGCGGGTATTAGTATTCATTAAACCCCATATTAATCATCTCACTGATCAGTGATTAGACTTCCCATGAAATGTTCATTACAAATTTTCCTGGAAAAAAAATCTGGTGCAGGTCATTGCGGGATGCTTATCAGAGGAAGAAATCATGGGGTTGAAGGAGATGTTCAAAGGCATGGATTCCGACAACAGCGGGACCATAACACTCGAGGAATTGAAGCAAGGCCTTTCTAAGCAAGGAACAAAACTCACTGAATACGAAGTTCAACAACTAATGGAGGCCGTAAGTCATTTCCAAACATCAATTTCACCTTTCAATTTTTCATAATACATGAGATAAACATAGGGTTTTTCTTTGAAAAAATTATATAGGCTGATGCAGACGGGAATGGAACTATAGACTACCACGAGTTCATCACGGCAACGGTGCATATGAATCGAATGGACCGAGAGGACCATCTATACCATGCCTTCCAACACTTCGATAAAGACAATAGCGGGTACATAACGACTGAAGAATTAGAGCAAGCTCTACGTGAACATGGAATGCATGACGGTAGCTTAAAGGAAATCCTTTCTGAAGTTGACGCTGACAATGTAAGCAATGTATTTTTATTCTTTTTTCTAAATAAAACCGAAACAAATGAACTGAATGAGTTGAAATTACGCTCGTTTTGATATATTTTTGTAGGATGGAAGGATCAACTATGACGAGTTCGTAGCAATGATGAGAAAAGGAAATACTGAAGCACACACCAAGAAACGACGCGAACTATCAATTCATATCGAAGAATGAGAAAAATTAACACAAATTCTTGTTACTTTCTATTCAATGCAAGGGAAAATTGGGAGAGGTTATGATGACATTTAGGACATGGCTAAGGTTTTTCTTTCTTTCTTAATTTTAAAATTTTAAGTTTGATGGGGTTTCTTCCTGTATAAAAGTAGTATAAGAATTCAACTTTTTCTAACAAAAATTAATGTCAATTTTTTTTATAATTGCACCAATCGATCAATTAAATTCAAGTTTGATAGTGATTTGTTTTGGAGGAAATCTAACCCTTCACTTTTAGTCTTGAAAGAATATATGTCCTTATGCTAATATTCAGTTAAATCACCTCTTGAATAAAATGTTATCTTTATAGCCATTAATAAAATGCAAGTGTAACGAGGACACAAAATCGTTAATCTTGTTCAAGTGATAACTATAACAATGGATTACTATGCAATACTTTTGATTTCGATTGACAGATAAATTTTAAAACGATATTCATGATTAAACATAAGAAGACGTTGAAATTTATACAAAGAAGGTTTAAACATAAAAAATTTACTCCTGCTAAGGGACATTAAGATCAAAATCCAGCATCTTCTTAGGATGAACTTGTTCAGGCAACAGCAGTCCGGTGACACACTCTTTAGCTTCACCACACCCTCCTTGTTTGTCTTTTGCATGTGCTAACTCCACCTTCAATGGATCCTTCATCCGATGGGCTGTTTTGTGGTCACCGAGTGCCTGACGGTGGCGAAACTCTTGCCACATATCTCACATTGGTGCACGCTTTTATTTTCTTTAGCCGCCTTCATTGATCTTCTTTCATGGGATTGGTTGGACTTGTTAGAATTTTGAGTTTCCAACTTCCTCGCTGTCGTCTCGCGATACGGTATCAAACTCCATGGATTGGCAAGCAACGTGCTCTCAGAGTCAGCAACTCCATCCATATCTTGATAGCTACTGCTGCCCTCTTCAGTCTTCGTCTTCCTCCTTCGCATCTGAGGGTGGTGAGTTCCGTGACAGAATCTCAACGGCACTGCATCGTAGATTATATGGCCGTCACTAGCACTTCTCTTGAAACCTCTTTTGTCAGTTTGGGAGCAGGTGGGCATGTGTTCAGCAAATCTAGGTTTTGGTCATTACGTGGAGAGACTGTCTTCTCAATCCCTAGTTTCACAGTGGCGTCGGCTTCTTGCGACGTTGCAGCAGGACGGTGGTGAACACCGTTGGGAACGGTACGGCGGTGGATTCTCATATGCAGGCACAGCAACTGCATCGACGAGAAACTTTGGTTGCAAACCAAACAAGCAAAACGACCATCGTCATATTCTTCGGGAGGAGGATTAATTCCAGGTTTGGACCTTGGCAGATACTGAGTATGGATCCGAATATGGCCATGCAAGGCGTTTCTGGATTTGAAGCCTTTGCTGCAATATCTACATAATATAATCGTTGAATCCTGGTGAGCAGTTTTGAGGGATTTCAAGCAGACTGCCAAGGAATCAGCACTATGAGACATGTGAAGCTCATCTTCTTCTTCTTCTTTAGGATCACGCATAACAAAATAATTAAAAAATATCAAAACAACACAACTGACGATACAAAGAAAGAAAAAGAAAAACCCGACTGTGTGTTTGTGTGCGGCGTGTATACTCTCTCGCTTTCTACATGAATATATACAACAAGATAAACCGCCTAGTCATACAGGGCTAATTATCTCGACTGAAATTTAAAGATAACTTGATTAGCAAGTAAGGTTAATTAAGTAATTTCCTGGAAACATATTTTCGTTCTGACCATACGAACGCTACTATCGGTTCTTATTCTATTATAATTTTGTAAATCAGATAATTTACTACTGAATAATTAGCTTTAGCTTAAATTTAATAATAAATATATACAAATATTAATATATATATATATATAAATATAAATATATAAATTTTATAATTAACGAATGAATAATAATTTCGCCCACCATATCGGATTAATTAGATCAAATCCTAACCTAGAAAAAAAAATCATGTTTACCATAGTGGATGATCTTGTTTGGTTGGTACCCTTATAGAGAAGCACCTAACGATGGAGCCCTAATTTCATAATATCTGCAATTATAAAGATAGAGTCAAATTTGAGTTGTAAAAAGTAAAAGGCTTAATACAAAAATAAGTATCTAAATAATTTTTCATAAAATATGTGTTTAACGTTTCTAACATTACAATTTTAAGTGTCTGAACTGTAATTGTCATTAAATTTCACCATTATCTGATATGTGTCATACATATAAAATTTTAAAAAATATTTAGAGAAACTTAATATTATTGTTAAGGTTATAGTTAGATTGGTGGTTAGTAAGTTAGAGTTTATTATAACTGCTTTGTAATTGATGGAGTTTTAGAGTTTATCGTCTGAGTTCATTTCTGCTGTATAAATACAGTTCATTGTTTTGTTAATGAGATGAGGTTGTTTTGAGGTTATCATTCTTGAGTTTGTTCTACAATCTTTCAATAATAATAAAAACAAAATAAAACTACAAAATTATTTTCTCCACCATCGATCGATCATCGTCGATCTGTGACTGTCACTATTGACACTATCATAATTGTCTCATTGTCACGGCCAAAACTTAGTCTCCACCCATTGTGAAACTGTGTCAGTCATTGTGGAAAGCACCGCGAAGGGCTATCAGATCCTTTGTTGTTTTCTTACGATTCTGACGGCTCCAATTGTCTATTTGTTAAATGACCGTCACCATTGAGTTCTTCGTTCTTCTCCGAATAAAACCCAACCAGTGGTGACCACTCACCATCAGAGGTGAGCGGATGGAAGGGAGTGGGGACGATGCAGAGTTGATTTTTTTATTTTAAATTATATTTTTTATTTTAAAAAAATAGAATGGTAGACAACTAAAAGTATAATGGAGAAAAAGTTAGATACATATTTTTAATAAAAAAAATTAATTAGACATTTTATTTTTAAAGAAATACAATGGTAGACAATTAAAAATATAACGGAGAAAAAGTTAGATACACATTTTTATAATTTTTTTAATTAGACACCAAAAGTAAATTTAGAGTATAATTTAGACAAGGATTTCTGTATTAAGCCAAAAGAAAAACCTATTCATTCTTCGTTAACATGAAGGGAGATATTTATCAAGCACTTGAGTAGAAACACATGTCTGTTCTTTAATCATTTTCAATCTTCATGATTTTAAGCATTGGTTCTAACTAAATGCAAAGCTCAATCAAGTACTTCAAATTTGAATCCACAACTTAGATTGAAAATGACACTCTCTCTTCGTTGAGCCAATAGCATTGATGGGGATCATGGCTTGATACAGCAGTTCATACAGGTGAAGTTTTTCTTCTGCATAAATATTGCATCAAATGTTTTAGCCATAATTAAAACAAGGATTTATTTCTGAAATGAATATATATATATATATATATATATATATACTGGAACAGTTCCTCCGGAGTTTTGACTGAAATCTGAGTCGTGGTCGAGACGAGGACGGAGCAACAGAGTCGTGTCGTTCCCAAGGTTATGCATAACATCAACCTTACATTGTTTTCTTTTGTCACGAGCTCGCGAGAAAACTACTGAATAATCGGTGACCCCTTTCTCTTCCCACTCTCCGTCCCTTCATTGTTTTGTCCATGCAAAATAACTTTCATTTATTCACACACACACACACACGCACACATATACACCTTTCAATAGCTAATAGGCAAACACATTTTGGATAATTTAATGGCATTGTAGCACAGGAGATTACCTCTGTGGGATGAGACTTGGTGGAGACGAATTGATTAAGAGACTGATTATTACTCAGTTGATTATTGATCTTTCAAATCAATGTGTTTATGATGAGGAAAAGGGATGGGGTTTGTTTGGACTTACAACAATGTAACCAAGTTAGGTTACATAACCCATTAATCGAGACATCTTCAGTTTGTATAATCTTTCAAAGGCTTGCTGTCTAATAACCATCTTCTGTTCTTTCTCACTGTTTGTTGATTTACATAGGACTCGGATGAGGTTATGTCTCCCTATTTATGTTCATTTCCAACTCTTTGAAATAAGTCAACCATTTATTACAATAATATTTAGCTGATTACTGAAATCAAAATTTATTATTATTATACGAATTTGACAGGTTAACTGTATTCATTTAAAAAACTTAAAAGACAATGTTATTGAAAATAAATGATTAGATATTCTAAACATAGACAAAAATTAGATATAAATGTAAAAATATTTTTTAAATAGTTTAAAAGGTAACTATTCATATTTTTTTATCAGACTATTGATAATACACATAATCTACAAATATAATTACTCAAATATAAATTTAATAAATATGAGTTTATTAAGAAAAACAATATAATTTATGCTTTTAATAATATCATTTTAAATATTGAGAAAAATAATTGTTTTGTAATTTGATTTTCTTAAATTTATTTGTGATCTTAAAGAAAACTCATGACGGATTATAAAAATGAATATTTAATTTTACAAACAGGTATTTTTGAAAGAAAAAAAAATGATAGATACATCAAGTTGACAAAAATCGACAAAATTAATGAATTAAAACGAAAATCAATCACACAGCTAACTTCAAAATATTTTAAAAATAAAAAAAGAAAGAGGTAGAAGATCAATTCAACCAAATTTTCTTTTACTATTATTTTATTTAATGACATATGCTTTGTAACTTATAAAGATTTATATTAAAAATAGATATTTAAAGTATATATATTTTATTTAAATATCTAAATATTTTTTATCAAAATAAATAATTAAAGTATATAATCATTTTTACCTAGATACTTAAAGTTAACGTGTAATATTAATTTAAAAACAATACTTACCTTAACAAAACAATATTTTAAATACATATATAAAAATATATATTTTAATTTTTGATACTAAACTCAAAGTCAACTTGATATGAATTTTAAAAAATAAACAGAAAGTGATTTAATGATGTTAAGAGTAGAAAGTATAATTACAAGACAAATGAGAAAAAATGTATATGAGGTAATAAAATATTAAAAAGACAACGAGTTTTGAATTGGATATAATTAAAAGGCAAATGATATATATATATTGTAATAAAAATGAAATTCATAACGG